TGTGATGCTCCTAAGAAATTTCAGTTCGACGGTTTCGAATTGAACATTGCAACATCACATGATTTTTGCAGTGGACCAACAGTCATCGAATTGAGAAGAGGCGATACGGTTTTACATTTAGGACCAGCGCTTTGCCGTGAAATCATAGCATTAGACGAAACAATATGTTATAGATTAAAATTCTTAGAAGAGTTACAATTTTGTAATTTTTATAATAATATGATTCGTTACTTAAAATATGTCCCACCTGAAAAAATTTATTATGCTACGACTGCTAATTTACACTGCATGAAAGAACTGCTAGCACAGCGAAGTTTTAAGGTTTTTGCAGATCTCGCATCAACCGATTAATATTAAATTTAGATTTTTGTTAACATATATATATAACAAATGTAATTTTCAAAATTACCAGCACGGAAAAGTTTCAAGTTTTTTTCTGATCTCGCATCGAACGATTAATAATAATTATTAAATGTATTATTTCAGCGTTTTTCCTGCAGACATGTACTATTCAAGAATTTGTAGGCTGAATGATAAAATAAATAAATGAATAAAAAATAAATAAAAGCGTCTTTGTTTTAATTCCCTACCACAATAATGAATAACAATAATAATAGAGCTATCTATTCATATTCGCGACTCACTTGCGTGCAGTACCTACGTGTGAAATCTTAACTCTCATATCAGCGAAAATATAAAATGGCTGCTAGTTTGAATGAATTGAACAAAATTGGGAAATGTGAAACTAAACCGAAATTAAATCCCGATGAGCTAAAGATTGGTGAGAAATACCCGATTTGTGATGTGAAAAAAGTTAAAGGAAAATTTGGTGATTGTGTCCTTGTGGAACTCGAAGAAGGTGTCATATTTTTACCAAAAAGGATGGCAGATAATATGTCCGATGACTTGATCGAATCTATCCATGAGGACGTTCTTTGTTTGGCTTTGGTATATCATGGCACCAAGGACACTGGAAAGAGCAACCCAGCGCATCTCTACGAAATCGTGCAGATATAAAACAGCTCGTAACAATATAATTATTATCAATTTATATTTAATCAGCATTATTAGTGTTAGTACTTAGTGGTGTTTTTTTTTCACAATGGAATCAGCTACAACAGAAGTAATCGAGAAAATGATCGATTCTGTTACCAAAATGATGCAACTGTGTAACAACAACGTCCAGAAATTAGAAAAAGTGTTAAAATTGAATCGAAAAAATCTACGAATCGTGAATGGTGTATTGCGAAATTCTGACTGTGTTGGGGAAAAAAGAAGATTGGAAAATTATTTAGCACGTATCAAAGGATTAAATTTACATATCGAATCAAAAATCGAGAATGAAAAAATTGGATACGGTAATAGTAAAAAGAGAAGAAACAGTAAGGTTCGCTGGATAGAGGTAAGTTTTATTCATTCCCCTTAGTATCAAATAAGAAACATTAATTTTACTTAGGTAAAATCAGCTTTCGTCGGTCGCGTGAGAACAGGAGCAGTTGTTAATTTAGATGAGAATCTTGTTGATATTCGTCGATTTTTTCACGACGCCAGCCCGTTAATTTTTTCAAGAATCACAAATATTCTCAAAAAGATGACAGCGATTAAACTAAATTTCGAGATGTCTTGTGAATACATAATTCCATCGACAGGAGAAGTGTCCCTGAAGTATTTCAACACACCCAACACTATGATTTTATTATCGACCGACATTCAGAAATCTATTGACGATTTAGCTGGAATTATTCAAACCAAAGTAAGTTATTTAGATTTTTTTTTCACTTAATAACAAGGTATGGTATTATTACAGATGGAAGAATTCGCAGAATCTAAATCTGGATGGAGTCTACGGAAAATATGTCAGCTAATGGTTGCGTTCAACAAGTACACTCCAATAAACGGCCGAATCTACATACCGTTGCCAACAGAATTGAAAAAGAAAGGAGGCATTATTAATATAATGAATACTGATCGTCTTTGTTTTGTATGGTCGGTACTTGCAAGTCTTTATCCCTGTAAAGATAGTAATTATGAACGTACTGATGCCTATCCGCAGAACTATCACGATATATTAAATTTACGTGGTGTACAAATGCCTGTTCAGTTATCAAGTATTCCTAAATTTGAAGCTCAAAATTCTAACATATCAATTAACGTGTTCACGGTCAATGACAAAACGCATGAAATTGAAGGTCCTATATATCATACAAAAAATGTAAAAAACCATCACATAAATTTATTATATTTAAAAAAGACTCGATCCAAACATGGCCATTATTGTCTTATTAGCGACTTAAGTAAAGTTTGTGGAAGAAATATTTCGGCACATAAAGCGAAAATGTTCATTTGCGATAGATGTTTAAATCATTTCTCCCTTAAATCACATTACGAGTCGCATCAGCAGGATTGTAAATTATTTTCTCCAGTTAAGATTACTTTACCTGATGAATCTAGTGCTCATTTAGAATTTTCAAATTACAAAGCGCTTCTTAAAAAAGGTTTTGTTATTTATGCAGATTTTGAATGTTTGTTAATTAAAGGTAATGATCATCCGATGAAATATCGACATATACCTTACAGTGTAGCGTTCACGAGTGTCTGTTCTTTTGACAATAGTTTAAATACATTCTTTAGTTATATTGCCAGTTCACCAAATGATCAAACACCGGCTTCTTGGTTCATTGCAAAACTTCAGAAAGAAATTAACAAAATGACGCAAATTCTACGCTCGCGAGATTTGCCAATGTTGCCCCTTTCGGACGAGGAAAAATTAAATTATAATTCGTCAATGGAATGTCCTATCTGCGGTCGCGTTTATTGCGAAACCAATCCAAAAGTCCACCATCATGATCATCTTACAGGGAAATATATAGCACCGTATTGTCAAAATTGTAATTTACAGTGCAAAAAAGATTATAGTATACCCGTTTTTTTACATAATCTTAGTGGGTATGACGCTCATCTTTTTATTGAGGAATTGGCTCGTAGTAATTATGTCAATTTGGTACCATTAAATATGGAAAAATATATTGGATTTTCGACTTATTTCAATCAAACTCGAGTTACATTTTTAGATTCATACAGGTTTTTATCTTCGTCCTTAGATTCTCTTGTTAAAAATCTAACTCCCGATCAACTTTTAATTACAAAGTCATATTTTTCTGATGTAAAAAATTTTCCATTGTTAACACGAAAACAAGTGTTTTGTTACGAGTACTTAGATTGTTGGGATAAATTATCGAAAACGAAACTGCCTGAAAAACATTATTTTTATAGTAGTCTGCACGATGAACACATATCAGACGAAGATTATGCTCACGCTAAACTAATATGGGATGAATTTTCTATTAAAAATTTAAGTGATTACGCCCTGTTTTATTTGAAACTCGACGTATTGCTTTTAGCTGACTGCTTTGAAAATTTTAGAAATCTGACTATGAAGTATTATGGACTCGATGCTGCCGGTTTTTTTACAGCACCTGGCTTATCATGGGCTGCTGCTTTGAAAATGACACAAATTAAACTCAGATTATTCACAGATATCGATATGACCCTTTTCATTGAAAAAGCTTTAAGAGGTGGTATATCACAATCTATATGTCGATATTCAAAAGCCAATAATAAGTATTGTTCGTCATATGATCCAAATTTGGATACTAAATATCTAATTTATTGGGACGTATGTAATCTTTACGGATGGGCACAGTGCCAGAGTTTACCATACGATCATTTTAGGTGGTTAGATAATTTCGAAATTGAAAGTCTAGATATAAATACATGCTATGCAAACACTGCTGATAAATGTTGTATTTTAGAAGTTGATTTGGAATATTCGCAGTCTCTTCATGATTTACATGAACAATTACCATTTTGTTGTGAACATCAGATGCCTCCTAATTCGCAAAATAATTCAGAGAAATTATTATGCACTTTATGCGACAAAACTAAATACGTAATTCATCTTGAGAACTTAAGACAAACAGTGCATTTCGGTCTGAAAGTGATAAAAATACATCGTGTTTTAGAATTCTCACAAAAACCTTGGTTAAAGCCATATATAATGTTCAATACTGATTTACGAATGCAAGCCAAATCTGCTTTTGAAAAAGACTTTTTTAAATTGATGATAAATGCCAATTATGGCAAAACACTGGAAAACGATCGAAAGAAACGTAAAATAAAACTAGCAAACAATTGGTTTACCGCTAGAAAATATATCTCTTTGCCAGAATTTAAGTGTTCGCAAATTATAAACGAAGATTTGGTTGTTGTTGAATTGAATAAAACAACTATAAATTTCGAGAAGCCGATTTACGTAGGATTTACAATTTTAGAATTATCAAAAACGTTAATGTACGATTTTCATTATAATTTTGTCAAAAAAGACCTATCAAATTGGTTCGCTTCCAAATTATTATATATGGATACCGACAGTTTCATTTACGAATTTACAACTTTACGTAAAGAAGATACAACCGATATTTATCATATAATTCGAGATTACGCATCTTTGTTATTTGACACTTCAGATTTGCCTGTGGATAATCAGTGGGGTATTCCACAAGTGAATAAAAAGGTACCAGGAAAATTTAAAGATGAACTATGTGGTAAAATAATGACGGAATTTGTATCGCTTAAATCAAAAGTGTACGGCTTCAAAATCGACGGAAAAGATAGTAGCGTTCGAAAACTTAAAGGTGTTGGTAAAACAGCCATAAAGCATATTACGTTTGATGACTTTTATAAATGTTTATTTAATGAAGTAAATCAGAATTGCACTTTTAATACAATCCAGTCGAAAAACCACCAAGTTTTTACCGTAAAAATTCATAAAAAAGCACTCGATTCATCGGACAATAAACGATATATATTACCCAATAATGTAGTTGAAACTTTGCCTTGGGGTCATTATAAAATTGTCAACGAATGAAAAATATATAACTTTTTTTTTTCATAAGAAGCTGATTCTGTATGTGTTGAAATATTTTCTTTTTTGTTATGATTTATAATACATATACCTGTAACCTATATGTACCGAAATGCACTGTTTGTCTTAAGTTCTCAAGATGAATTACGTATTTAGTTTTGTCGCATAAAGTGCATAATAATTTCTCTGAATTATTTTGCGAATTAGGAGGCATCTGATGTTCACAACAAAATGGTAATTGTTCATGTAAATCATGAAGAGACTGCGAATATTCCAAATCAACTTCTAAAATACAACATTTATCAGCAGTGTTTGCATAGCATGTATTTATATCTAGACTTTCAATTTCGAAATTATCTAACCACCTAAAATGATCGTATGGTAAACTCTGGCACTGTGCCCATCCGTAAAGATTACATACGTCCCAATAAATTAGATATTTAGTATCCAAATTTGGATCATATGACGAACAATACTTATTATTGGCTTTTGAATATCGACATATAGATTGTGATATACCACCTCTTAAAGCTTTTTCAATGAAAAGGGTCATATCGATATCTGTGAATAATCTGAGTTTAATTTGTGTCATTTTCAAAGCAGCAGCCCATGATAAGCCAGGTGCTGTAAAAAAACCGGCAGCATCGAGTCCATAATACTTCATAGTCAGATTTCTAAAATTTTCAAAGCAGTCAGCTAAAAGCAATACGTCGAGTTTCAAATAAAACAGGGCGTAATCACTTAAATTTTTAATAGAAAATTCATCCCATATTAGTTTAGCGTGAGCATAATCTTCGTCTGATATGTGTTCATCGTGCAGACTACTATAAAAATAATGTTTTTCAGGCAGTTTCGTTTTCGATAATTTATCCCAACAATCTAAGTACTCGTAACAAAACACTTGTTTTCGTGTTAACAATGGAAAATTTTTTACATCAGAAAAATATGACTTTGTAATTAAAAGTTGATCGGGAGTTAGATTTTTAACAAGAGAATCTAAGGACGAAGATAAAAACCTGTATGAATCTAAAAATGTAACTCGAGTTTGATTGAAATAAGTCGAAAATCCAATATATTTTTCCATATTTAATGGTACCAAATTGACATAATTACTACGAGCCAATTCCTCAATAAAAAGATGAGCGTCATACCCACTAAGATTATGTAAAAAAACGGGTATACTATAATCTTTTTTGCACTGTAAATTACAATTTTGACAATACGGTGCTATATATTTCCCTGTAAGATGATCATGATGGTGGACTTTTGGATTGGTTTCGCAATAAACGCGACCGCAGATAGGACATTCCATTGACGAATTATAATTTAATTTTTCCTCGTCCGAAAGGGGCAACATTGGCAAATCTCGCGAGCGTAGAATTTGCGTCATTTTGTTAATTTCTTTCTGAAGTTTTGCAATGAACCAAGAAGCCGGTGTTTGATCATTTGGTGAACTGGCAATATAACTAAAGAATGTATTTAAACTATTGTCAAAAGAACAGACACTCGTGAACGCTACACTGTAAGGTATATGTCGATATTTCATCGGATGATCATTACCTTTAATTAACAAACATTCAAAATCTGCATAAATAACAAAACCTTTTTTAAGAAGCGCTTTGTAATTTGAAAATTCTAAATGAGCACTAGATTCATCAGGTAAAGTAATCTTAACTGGAGAAAATAATTTACAATCCTGCTGATGCGACTCGTAATGTGATTTAAGGGAGAAATGATTTAAACATCTATCGCAAATGAACATTTTCGCTTTATGTGCCGAAATATTTCTTCCACAAACTTTACTTAAGTCGCTAATAAGACAATAATGGCCATGTTTGGATCGAGTCTTTTTTAAATATAATAAATTTATGTGATGGTTTTTTACATTTTTTGTATGATATATAGGACCTTCAATTTCATGCGTTTTGTCATTGACCGTGAACACGTTAATTGATATGTTAGAATTTTGAGCTTCAAATTTAGGAATACTTGATAACTGAACAGGCATTTGTACACCACGTAAATTTAATATATCGTGATAGTTCTGCGGATAGGCATCAGTACGTTCATAATTACTATCTTTACAGGGATAAAGACTTGCAAGTACCGACCATACAAAACAAAGACGATCAGTATTCATTATATTAATAATGCCTCCTTTCTTTTTCAATTCTGTTGGCAACGGTATGTAGATTCGGCCGTTTATTGGAGTGTACTTGTTGAACGCAACCATTAGCTGACATATTTTCCGTAGACTCCATCCAGATTTAGATTCTGCGAATTCTTCCATCTGTAATAATACCATACCTTGTTATTAAGTGAAAAAAAAATCTAAATAACTTACTTTGGTTTGAATAATTCCAGCTAAATCGTCAATAGATTTCTGAATGTCGGTCGATAATAAAATCATAGTGTTGGGTGTGTTGAAATACTTCAGGGACACTTCTCCTGTCGATGGAATTATGTATTCACAAGACATCTCGAAATTTAGTTTAATCGCTGTCATCTTTTTGAGAATATTTGTGATTCTTGAAAAAATTAACGGGCTGGCGTCGTGAAAAAATCGACGAATATCAACAAGATTCTCATCTAAATTAACAACTGCTCCTGTTCTCACGCGACCGACGAAAGCTGATTTTACCTAAGTAAAATTAATGTTTCTTATTTGATACTAAGGGGAATGAATAAAACTTACCTCTATCCAGCGAACCTTACTGTTTCTTCTCTTTTTACTATTACCGTATCCAATTTTTTCATTCTCGATTTTTGATTCGATATGTAAATTTAATCCTTTGATACGTGCTAAATAATTTTCCAATCTTCTTTTTTCCCCAACACAGTCAGAATTTCGCAATACACCATTCACGATTCGTAGATTTTTTCGATTCAATTTTAACACTTTTTCTAATTTCTGGACGTTGTTGTTACACAGTTGCATCATTTTGGTAACAGAATCGATCATTTTCTCGATTACTTCTGTTGTAGCTGATTCCATTGTGAAAAAAAAACACCACTAAGTACTAACACTAATAATGCTGATTAAATATAAATTGATAATAATTATATTGTTACGAGCTGTTTTATATCTGCACGATTTCGTAGAGATGCGCTGGGTTGCTCTTTCCAGTGTCCTTGGTGCCATGATATACCAAAGCCAAACAAAGAACGTCCTCATGGATAGATTCGATCAAGTCATCGGACATATTATCTGCCATCCTTTTTGGTAAAAATATGACACCTTCTTCGAGTTCCACAAGGACACAATCACCAAATTTTCCTTTAACTTTTTTCACATCACAAATCGGGTATTTCTCACCAATCTTTAGCTCATCGGGATTTAATTTCGGTTTAGTTTCACATTTCCCAATTTTGTTCAATTCATTCAAACTAGCAGCCATTTTATATTTTCGCTGATATGAGAGTTAAGATTTCACACGTAGGTACTGCACGCAAGTGAGTCGCGAATATGAATAGATAGCTCTATTATTATTGTTATTCATTATTGTGGTAGGGAATTAAAACAAAGACGCTTTTATTTATTTTTTATTCATTTATTTATTTTATCATTCAGCCTACAAATTCTTGAATAGTACATGTCTGCAGGAAAAACGCTGAAATAATACATTTAATAATTATTATTAATCGTTCGATGCGAGATCAGAAAAAAACTTGAAACTTTTCCGTGCTGGTAATTTTGAAAATTACATTTGTTATATATATATGTTAACAAAAATCTAAATTTAATATTAATCGGTTGATGCGAGATCTGCAAAAACCTTAAAACTTCGCTGTGCTAGCAGTTCTTTCATGCAGTGTAAATTAGCAGTCGTAGCATAATAAATTTTTTCAGGTGGGACATATTTTAAGTAACGAATCATATTATTATAAAAATTACAAAATTGTAACTCTTCTAAGAATTTTAATCTATAACATATTGTTTCGTCTAATGCTATGATTTCACGGCAAAGCGCTGGTCCTAAATGTAAAACCGTATCGCCTCTTCTCAATTCGATGACTGTTGGTCCACTGCAAAAATCATGTGATGTTGCAATGTTCAATTCGAAACCGTCGAACTGAAATTTCTTAGGAGCATCACAGTCCAAATTCGATGTTTCAAAATGTATTTTAATTAAAATATTCAAAAACTGCACAAAACACTTCCAGTTTTCTGTAGTAAATGTTACACAACGATTTTGCCAGTTCAGAATTTTTACGACATGTAAAAAATCTAGCACAACACTTAAGCCAGTAGAAATGCGAAATAAGGGATTCGTCAATTCATATTTTTCTTCAAATATCGAATTTTTCTCATGATTTAATTCGTCGTCTCGATCAAGTAACGGAAAGTCATCATCTATCGAAATAGTACGGGAATCGAAATTGATGCTGTTAACGTTATTTCTTGCTTTCGCAAAAGTAGGACAATCGCATGTTGTGTATTCACTAGCACTTTTATCACGGTGCATGCTTGAAATGCAAGCACCTTCGTCCATGGCTGAACGTAAACTAACACAAATGTTCATTTGGATCAAGCTGATAAAATAATAGACCGTATAAAATAAAATATGCATAAAATTGACCTAAACGTCTCCTTTTCCTATTCTGAGTCGATTCTGCATGCTTTAAGTGTGTTTGGTGGCTCAGAACCATCAAAAAACGTTGAAATATAGTTCAAATTCAATAAAAATCGACAAAAATACAGTTTCTAGCTAAAATTTGATGGTTTCGTTGCACTTTCCGAGCCCGTAGGGTATCTGATTGGCTTAAAAGTACAAGAAAACACTTCAAAAGTGACGTTTCTGAAGAATTTTAACAGTTTTCTTGTATCTACGAACGCCAGAATGCATAAAATTGACCTAAACGTCTCCTTTTCCTATTCTGAGTCGATTCTGCATGCTTTAAGTGTGTTTGGTGGCTCAGAACCATCAAAAAACTTTGAAATATAGTTCAAATTCAATAAAAATCGACAAAAATACAGTTTCTAGCTAAAATTTGATGGTTTCGTTGCACTTTCCGAGCCCGTAGGGTATCTGATTGGCTTAAAAGTACAAGAAAACACTTCAAAAGTGACGTTTCTGAAGAATTTTAACAGTTTTCTTGTATCTACGAACGCCAGAATGCATAAAATTGACCTAAACGTCTCCTTTTCCTATTCTGAGTCGATTCTGCATGCTTTAAGTGTGTTTGGTGGCTCAGAACCATCAAAAAACGTTGAAATATAGTTCAAATTCAATAAAAATCGACAAAAATACAGTTTCTAGCTAAAATTTGATGGTTTCGTTGCACTTTCCGAGCCCGTAGGGTATCTGATTGGCTTAAAAGTACAAGAAAACACTTCAAAAGTGACGTTTCTGAAGAATTTTAACAGTTTTCTTGTATCTACGAACGCCAGAATGCATAAAATTGACCTAAACGTCTCCTTTTCCTATTCTGAGTCGATTCTGCATGCTTTAAGTGTGTTTGGTGGCTCAGAACCATCAAAAAACGTTGAAATATAGTTCAAATTCAATAAAAATCGACAAAAATACAGTTTCTAGCTAAAATTTGATGGTTTCGTTGCACTTTCCGAGCCCGTAGGGTATCTGATTGGCTTAAAAGTACAAGAAAACACTTCAAAAGTGACGTTTCTGAAGAATTTTAACAGTTTTCTTGTATCTACGAACGCCAGAATGCATAAAATTGACCTAAACGTCTCCTTTTCCTATTCTGAGTCGATTCTGCATGCTTTAAGTGTGTTTGGTGGCTCAGAACCATCAAAAAACGTTGAAATATAGTTCAAATTCAATAAAAATCGACAAAAATACAGTTTCTAGCTAAAATTTGATGGTTTCGTTGCACTTTCCGAGCCCGTAGGGTATCTGATTGGCTTAAAAGTACAAGAAAACACTTCAAAAGTGACGTTTCTGAAGAATTTTGACAGTTTTCTTGTATCTACGAACGCCAGAATGCATAAAATTGACCTAAACGTCTCGTTTTCCTATTCTGAGTCGATTCTGCATGCTTTAAGTGTGTTTGGTGGCTCAGAACCATCAAAAAACGTTGAAATATAGTTCAAATTCAATAAAAATCGACAAAAATACAGTTTCTAGCTAAAATTTGATGGTTTCGTTGCACTTTCCGAGCCCGTAGGGTATCTGATTGGCTTAAAAGTACAAGAAAACACTTCAAAAGTGACGTTTCTGAAGAATTTTAACAGTTTTCTTGTATCTACGAACGCCAGAATGCATAAAATTGACCTAAACGTCTCCTTTTCCTATTCTGAGTCGATTCTGCATGCTTTAAGCGTGTTTGGTGGCTCAGAACCATCAAAAAACGTTGAAATATAGTTCAAATTCAATAAAAATCGACAAAAATACAGTTTCTAGCTAAAATTTGATGGTTTCGTTGCACTTTCCGAGCCCGTAGGGTATCTGATTGGCTTAAAAGTACAAGAAAACACTTCAAAAGTGACGTTTCTGAAGAATTTTAACAGTTTTCTTGTATCTACGAACGCCAGAATGCATAAAATTGACCTAAATGTCTCCTTTTCCTATTCTGAGTCGATTCTGCATGCTTTAAGTGTGTTTGGTGGCTCAGAACCATCAAAAAACGTTGAAATATAGTTCAAATTCAATAAAAATCGACAAAAATACAGTTTCTAGCTAAAATTTGATGGTTTCGTTGCACTTTCCGAGCCCGTAGGGTATCTGAATGGCTTAAAAGTACAAGAAAACACTTCAAAAGTGACGTTTCTGAAGAATTTTAACAGTTTTCTTGTATCTACGAACGCCAGAATGCATAAAATTGACCTAAACGTCTCCTTTTCCTATTCTGAGTCGATTCTGCATGCTTTAAGTGTGTTTGGTGGCTCAGAACCATCAAAAAACGTTGAAATATAGTTCAAATTCAATAAAAATCGACAAAAATACAGTTTCTAGCTAAAATTTGATGGTTTCGTTGCACTTTCCGAGCCCGTAGGGTATCTGATTGGCTTAAAAGTACAAGAAAACACTTCAAAAGTGACGTTTCTGAAGAATTTTAACAGTTTTCTTGTATCTACGAATGCCAGAATGCATAAAATTGACATAAACGTCTCCTTTTCCTATTCTGAGTCGATTCTGCATGCTTTAAGTGTGTTTGGTGGCTCAGAACCATCAAAAAACGTTGAAATATAGTTCAAATTCAATAAAAATCGACAAAAATACAGTTTCTAGCTAAAATTTGATGGTTTCGTTGCACTTTCCGAGCCCGTAGGGTATCTGATTGGCTTAAAAGTACAAGAAAACACTTCAAAAGTGACGTTTCTGAAGAATTTTAACAGTTTTCTTGTATCTACGAACGCCAGAATGCATAAAATTGACCTAAACGTCTCCTTTTCCTATTCTGAGTCGATTCTGCATGCTTTAAGTGTGTTTGGTGGCTCAGAACCATCAAAAAACGTTGAAATATAGTTCAAATTCAATAAAAATCGACAAAAATACAGTTTCTAGCTAAAATTTGATGGTTTCGTTGCACTTTCCGAGCCCGTAGGGCATCTGATTGGCTTAAAAGTACAAGAAAACACTTCAAAAGTGACGTTTCTGAAGAATTTTAACAGTTTTCTTGTATCTACGAACGCCAGAATGCATAAAATTGACCTAAACGTCTCCTTTTCCTATTCTGAGTCGATTGTGCATGCTTTAAGTGTGTTTGGTGGCTCAGAACCATCAAAAAACGTTGAAATATAGTTCAAATTCAATAAAAATCGACAATAATACAGTTTCTAGCTAAAATTTGATGGTTTCGTTGCACTTTCCGAGCCCGTAGGGTATCTGATTGGCTTAAAAGTACAAGAAAACACTTCAAAAGTGACGTTTCTGAAGAATTTTAACAGTTTTCTTGTATCTACGAACGCCAGAATGCATAAAATTGACCTAAACGTCTCCTTTTCCTATTCTGAGTCGATTCTGCATGCTTTAAGTGTGTTTGGTGGCTCAGAACCATCAAAAAACGTTGAAATATAGTTCAAATTCAATAAAAATCGACAAAAATACAGTTTCTAGCTAAAATTTGATGGTTTCGTTGCACTTTCCGAGCCCGTAGGGTATCTGATTGGCTTAAAAGTACAAGAAAACACTTCAAAAGTGACGTTTCTGAAGAATTTTAACAGTTTTCTTGTATCTACGAACGCCAGAATGCATAAAATTGACCTAAACGTCTCCTTTTCCTATTCTGAGTCGATTCTGCATGCTTTAAGTGTGTTTGGTGGCTCAGAACCATCAAAAAACGTTGAAATATAGTTCAAATTCAATAAAAATCGACAAAAATACAGTTCCTAGCTAAAATTTGATGGTTTCGTTGCACTTTCCGAGCCCGTAGGGTATCTGATTGGCTTAAAAGTACAAGAAAACACTTCAAAAGTGACGTTTCTGAAGAATTTTAACAGTTTTCTTGTATCTACGAACGCCAGAATGCATAAAATTGACCTAAACGTCTCCTTTTCCTATTCTGAGTCGATTCTGCATGCTTTAAGTGTGTTTGGTGGCTCAGAACCATCAAAAAACGTTGAAATATAGTTCAAATTCAAAAAAAATCGACAAAAATAGAGTTTCTAGCTAAAATTTGATGGTTTCGTTGCACTTTCCGAGCCCCTCGGGTATCTGATTGGCTTAAAAGTACAAGAAAACACTTCAAAAGTGACGTTTCTGA